CTTTGATCCACTCTGTGTTCATGTAAATACACAGTGGCGTTTTTATATGTACAAAAGTGGTGGGGCACAAAAAACGTAGATGTCTATATATAAGCTTCTGCAGTGACGTGCAGTGAGGTTCATGGCTGGTGAGGCACTGGCACTGACTCTTCAGGTTTACAAATATTATATTTTGACCTAAACCAAAATATAATATTATTTTCAAAAGCTTTTTTTGTCTGATGCTTCGATTAATTTGAAACAGACAGTTCAACAAAAGGATACCCAAAAAATGTAATTTTATCATTTAAATATTGAATTGTTCTCTCTTAGTAAGATCCCATTTTCAATAAAATTGCGGTCTTACCTTGACTTGAAGATGAAGTCCATTTGCCTATCCTTCTGGACAAAAAATTCTATTACTTTTTTGTAAAAGTCCTCCTTATCTTCTTGTAGTTTCAAAAGTCTATCATAAATCTAATCGATAGATTTATGATAAAAAAATTATAAAAGTAGGGTAGACATGTGGATATTATCCGGCTGAACAAAACGTGCATTTATCTAACAGGTACGTTTCCCACAGATCTTATTTCCAGCTATTTTCTAAAATCCTATGGAGAAATCTCATTGCTTTTTTGTCGAGGGAAGCCATGGGCAGCTTACTTCCGGGTTTTAGGACGCGTCACTGCAGCTCTCTCGTCTCCTCTTCACACACCACACTTTTCGCGGCACACGTACTTACAGCCAATCAGCTCTGAATTATGTGAGATGACGTATGGTGGGGATGGCAGCTCAGTGCCCCTATGGTCATTATTTTTTTGCCACACACATTAAATAGGAAAATACTCTGAGCATGCGCAGTGTAGTTTTTACAGTCACCGTTCACTTAGACAGTGAGAGGGAGGGGCATGATCAGGTTTTGTCCCATATGGCTCAAAACGGCTGAATAGGCACACACTGTAGACACTAATTAGAAGAACACAGACTAAAACAGCAATGTACAGACTAATCAGATGATTAAACATGATCTTAAAATATATTTTATATATTTATTTATTTATTTTTTGCATTTTTTGTAATCATTATTTGTAATACTTTCTGCTGACACTAGGTGGGGCTGTGCCTGCCCCTAATGACCAGTCGCCACTGTAAATACACACAGAGCGGATCAAAACAGACACAATATTGTGTGTGGGGGTGTGTCCCGGAAAGCGACACTTGATACTGGAAAGTGGAGGATATTAATGATTGTGTTACATTTTAGCAGCGGTGCACATACCATGAATATGGGGGACATGCCGGACACCTATCATGCTATATTTAAATGATATATTGTAGGGCCATACCTATATAAGGTATATTTATACGTTTCTGTTTTCAAAATACCAAACAGATCATGCATTTTAGCCATGCCTCATTTCGCTCTATGTGCTGTTTGCTGTCTACGGGGCTGATTCTGTGAGCTGCAGCTGACCACGCCCCCCTGCAGGAGAGGGGAGCCGCTCTGATCAGCTGCTGGGCTGTCAGAAGAGGCGGAGAAAAATAGATCTCTGTCCTCCGTGTTTTATTATATTATTATAGGCCTATAGAGTCGTTATTCATTTGTTTTAAAGCTCAATAAATAACAAAGAAGATCTTTGACCGGCACTTTTCTAATTTTGTCCGGAAGATTTAAACTTTAACGGACATCTTGACCGGCGAGGGAGAAAAAAAGCCACAGCGGAGAATAAACAGAAGGGTAACCATGGTAACTATGGGCGGGAAGTCTTCTTCGCTGCTTTTGTGGCAGACTACAGCGCCACTTACAGGCCTGGCATATGTACTACAGCGTCTCCAGCGCTTTCGAGAGGCAATGGCCGGCCGTGGCCCAACCCCACATTCCCCTGATAGGTGGAGAGTTGGCCCAATAGCCGTAGCGCCACTTTCCTGACGTCAGTAAAGTGTTCAAATCTGGATCAGTTTTTATCAGATCTGTTGCAGCCCCTTTTTTAGAGATTTGGGTGTGGAGGAAAATAGAGAGGGTTGTGTTTTCTGACACTTGGTGAGTTCCCTGGAACACCGGGGACACATATTCATGTATAAAAGACGTACAAAAGTGCATTTTGCATGATAGGTCCCCTTTAAAGTCAGGGTTACGATCCACCCGTTGTGAAATTAACTTATCTTCCATATTTTCCGTACACTTGTGTTTACGGAAGTTGAGATGTTTCTCGGTTGTGATTGGTTGTTCCTCGTCACATGGCAAGCGGTGCGCGCTGCTGCGGTCCCAAAGTTGAAGGCCGCGGCCAGAAAAAAAAAGACCTTGGCAGCCAGTGCACGTCTCCATTGAAACCAAAGGAAATGAGCTTGCAACGCTGATGTGTATGGTGGGAAGTCTTTTTTCAAATATTGCATTTGATTTCTCAAGCTTATCCACCTACTTTTTCTAAACAGACACTGGTCTACAGACACGTGAAAACATGAAGACTGTGATTCTCGCTCTCATGGTGTTGCTGGTGGTCAGCCAGGGTGAGTTCAGTGTTCAGGAAACACTTAAAACTGCATCTAACTATTCTTAAATATGCTCTTTAAAACGCTTAATGTCTTACTTGTAGGGGTCCATTTTAATTATGATTCATGATCCCTTTTTCATACACACACATATACTGAACACACACTCTTACACACCATTATCTGTCTTCATTTTGCTTTGTTTATGTTTTATTCTAATTTGCATTGCTGTTTAAATCATGTCAGGATCATAGAGTTTGCCATCCATGTTTTAAAGTCTTATTCTTTTCTGACTTTCTATCTGTTAATAGACTTATGTGATGTATTTTATCTTAGTTATGTTTGTGTGTTTTCTATTGTCCAAATGAACAACTCTTCATCTACAAAATGAGGATTACAGTATATCTGGTTAAAACAGAAGAACAATCATTTGTGGTTTGGAAAATGGAGCAGTATATTCTTTACAATGGTTTGACATTATTTTTTAAATGTTTCCAGGTGAAGCGTTGAAGTGTTACTGTGCAGGCACCTCCAAGACGTGTCCAGGTCCTGTGGAGACTTGCTACGGTTTGAATCAAGTCTGTGGCAGCATCACTCTTAACCCTGGAGCCCGTAAGTAAAGGCTTCGTTGTACTACTGAATACAGTTTTTGGAATAATTCAATGATGTTGCCTTTTAATCCATGCTGTATTTTCCCATGTTTTTACAGACAGCAGCTACTTCAAGAGCTGATGGTTTGAAAGTGACTGCAGACGGCTGAGTAATTCAGAAGTGTCAACTGGCACTTGCTGCTGTTATGACCGGCCCGTTGGCCACAACAGGAAAACAAAGAGAGGTGTTCAAAGGTTCCAAAAACCACGGCACTTTATTGATCATCATCAAAGAGCAAACACCAAAAACAGGAGAAGACGGACGAGTGGAAAGGACCAGAGCGAGAGTCCTTCTGCAGCCGGCTTGGAGAGAGTCAGGACCGCCATGTGACTCCGGGCAGCTGGGCTTAATAGCACCTCGGCTCCGGCCAGGTGTCCGTGATCGCGCTGATTGGCCTCCTCAGCTCCACCCCACCATAAGACCTGTAAACACACCTGCACACAGGCTCTGGGGCCGTCACACTGCAGACAAGATCTGTGCAACAAATAAATCATTGTGCAAAATAAAAATATAGAAGAGCAGAAAGAATCGTGCTTCACATCTTTCAGTAATAATAATATTCTACCTTTATGTGCTGTGTAGTTTTCCAATCTTATAATAAAGATCAATCACAAAGTTTGCACTGTTTTTATTACAAAGTCTCATTGTTAAAACTTATAATTTTTTCTCTAAATAGAAAACTCTGTGTTTTTGGAGACGTCTTATTATGGTTTATCTACCAATTTCCTGGTCTGGAATCTGCCAACAGCTTCTCTGTTGTTGCAAAAACAACCTAATAATATTCACAAATGTTCAGCCACGCCTCTTGGAAAAAGTCCAGTAAATATACTTTGAGCTAAAAATGTGTTTTCAGTCTAAACTGTCCAAGTTTGCGACATTACATTTTAAGCTCAACTCTCCTTGTGTTTACACATTTTTATAAATCCTTATTTGTGGGATCTGTTGAGGTTTTTAAATGAGATTATGTTTATATTTTAACTTTGTATACTGCTCTATGAAGGACAGTGTGCCAAATCAATTGGGAAACTGTTTTATTTTTAGTACTTGTGCGTCATGTCATGTCATGTCACAGATATGTGGTTTATGAAACCACATATCTGTGACAAGACTACAACAATACGTTTTCTGATCTCAAACTTCCACCCTTTTTTTCTTGCAGAGACATGTTATACAGGGAGTTAGGCTTAAGGCGATTGTCAACGGGGGGGGGGGCGGTAGTGGAGCTTCACAAGTACGTCGGTACGCAAATGCGATTTGTGACACAAGTGACGGTACGCATTTCAGATTGTTGCCACGCATGTACCAGTTATGTGCACCCCTGCTTATAACACCCCTTTTGTTTTCTATAGTTTTGCTTTATCTAATGTCCCAATGTAATGTTGACTTGTTTATCTGATTATTTTCCTTCAAGTGTGTTGCTGTTGCAAAACAGTGTTCAGGCACGCCTCTTGAAAATAATCCAGTAAATACACTTTGCACTGGAAATATGTTGACAATCAAAACGTTCAGAAATTATTCATGAACTTTCAAACTGTCTTTATCAATTTTGGTGCGATCTGTTGATGTTTTTAAGATCAAATGATGGTGCTATATCAACATACTGTTCTACAAAACAAGTTTGGCAAGTTTTTCTAGATGTGCTTCACAGGTGTGGAGCCCGTAAGTAAAGGCTTCATTGACGCTGGATTCATTCATTTGCTCAACAAGTCCTAAACTTGCAGCCTGGCAGCACAGATCAGAATAATCAACAACACAGTGGGACAATACAAGGTTAGATATCTTTGAGTTCTCTTTTCAAATGTGCATTTATTAAAATGCTTCAACTTAAATGTAGCTTTTAATTTGTCATGCTTTTCACCTTTTATTTTTTCCATATACAGATTTGTGTACAGACTGGTGAAAACATGAAGACTGTGATTCTCGCTCTCCTGGTGTTGGTGTTGGTGGTGGGCAGCCAGGGTGAGTTCAGTGTTCAGGAAACACAAAAAACCTTCAGTATATTCAATTCAAAGTTCTTTGTTGACATTACATTACATTACATTACATTGCATTTAGCTGACGCTTTTATCCAAAGTGACTTACAATAAGTGCATTCGACCAAGAAGAAACAAACTTGAAGAAAACAGAATCATATAAGTACATTAGGTTTCATAGAGCCAAACCATTTTAAATGCTACTCAACTGGCTTTAGATAAGCCATTCCTTTGTTAGTATATAAGTGCTTAGTTAGTGTATATATATTTTTTATTGCTCAAAGTGGAGTCGAAAGAGATGAGTTTTCAGTCTGCGCCGGAAGATGTGTGTATCTGCTGTCCTGATGTCAATGGTGTTGAAATCTCCATATTAGGTTTTTTATATTTACAGTATAAACAAGTGGTTTGTTAAGTTGAGTGTAAGGCTTATTATGGTTTATGAGTGTCTGATAAGGGAGGGGAGACAGTTTCTTCCCTCTTCCCTCACAGCAGTACACAGGGAGGGGGCTTCCTGACTTTTTGGAGAAAGACTGAGGCCCCAAAAAGGTGTTTGTGCCATAGCCGAGAATAATATTTTCCAGTCCTGCACACTAGAGGTCATGACCTTTTTACACAAACATGGGAAGGTGTGTCTTATGCCATAGCCATAGAATGTGTCCAGTAATAATATTTTCCAGTCCTGTACATCAGAGGCCATGCCCAGTTTCCACAAATATGGGTATGGAGGAGGTGTCTTTAGTTTTTTCTGTCCTGTTTTTGAGCATAAAGACACTGGCAGAGAGGTGGGGGGTTCCCCTGGTATGCTCTCTCCCGGTAAAGCTAAAGCTAAAGCCCCGAATGCCCAGGCCAGGCGACGCCACTGGTCTGCACACTTGTCAAAGCATTACTTCATGGTTTTTACTAACCGGTATCAGTATGTTTACTTTGGCATCATTTTGAAACATGTATTACAAATACAGCGCGTCCTGTTTGAATGACAGGAGTAAACACAGTTGACAGCCGCGGTGAAACTCGAGCGATTAGAGCGATGCAAATATTCTGGGCTTATCTCCATGTAATACTACAACAAAATGAACATATTTTACCGTGATTTAATTGTAATACACGTTTCAAAATGATGCCGAAGTAACAACATACTGATACCGGTCATAGGCGGCGCCAGGGGGGCGCTAGGGGGTGCTGCAGCTCCCCCTAGGATAGCCATAGCACCCCATATAAGCACCCCCAAGAAATGTATGTGTATTTTTATTTTTTATGGGTGAAATTCATCATTTGAAAAATGATTGATTCGAAAATAATATGCTACAGTACAGTACAAGTACTTCTGGGTCTCTGTGTTTCATTCAAGCTCTGCTCTGTGTGTGTGTTTGGCACGAGCCATTTTGTGTGCGTGCGCGAGCGAGAGAGAGAGAGCGCGCACCGGTACTGGAGATCGTTGTGGTTAGCATCTGGTGCTAGCTAGCTACGCTAACGGATATAAGGAGCTTTTTCAACAACAAGGTGGAGGGAGAACTCTCTCCTGTCAGACTGAGAGTCTCAGATAACCTCAGCTCAGGTGAAGTAAATGACTCTCTCAGTGTTTAGATGTGTTTAGTTAACTGTAGTCTAAGTTATCTCATTGGGTCTCAAACGGTTTGGTCACGATTAATGTAAATAAGTGTTTCCGAGGCACACGTTTATATGATCATTATAGGTATAAAAAGATCAGAGAATAAATGAAAAACAGGTATGAAATACTATATGACAGTAAAACAAGAATAGAGTTTAAAAGTGATTTGTAAAATATCCATAAAGAAAAAGAAAATCTGCTTACAGTTCTGTTTTATATGGGTGTTGAGAGGTATCCATAGATCTCTTAATTTTGCTCTCAAAGTGCACCGGCACCCTAGAGGATGTTAGATCCACCCTCCACTTAAAAAAATATAGCACTTTACCCCTGCTTACACCTGTATGCCGTGAGCTGATTATCGAGCCTTCATTGTAACAGTCGCGGGTATACTGTGTATGTGCGTGTTGGGAGTGTTGCAGTAGAAAATGTTACTGTAACGACCGGTACATTAATGGGAAACCCTACATGTTTGAGCACCCTCTATGAAACGTCAAGCTACCCCACAGCACCCCCAAAAGAAAATCTCTGGCGCCGCCACTGATACCGGTTAGTAAAAACCATGAATTAATGCTTTGACAAGTGTGCAGACAAGACGGCAGGTGAAAAACCTTTTAAAATGCGTGTTTTCTGAATGGAGATCGGACCGATCAGGCTAAACTAACCTGTAGCTGCTCCGTCCACACTCACAACAACATGATACAGACAGAAATAAAGCAGCGGCTGTATTCGCCCATGGTTTGTAGATGTTTAAAGCTCCCATGTCATGCTTTTCCGGTTATTACCCGTCCCCTTGTGTGTTATGAAGGTTTTTATGCATGTAAACGGTGTGCAGAGTCAAAACCCTCAAAGTACACCCTGTAGCGAGTAAAACTCTAACACAGAAAATACCTCCCCAAAACGCCTCGTTGGAGATACGTCACTGCCCATTTGAGTCTTCCATTTAGTTCCGGGTACCGCCTGATGTCATGCGGTACCCGGAACGAAATGGACCAATCCCGAAGAGCTATGGCCACACCAGCAGCGGCGTGTTCCTCCTCCAGAGGTTCGAAGAACCGGCATTTCACAGACGAAAGCTTCCAAAACATTGCCCAGTTTGAGGCCGGATATGCACAGCTTGTTTGGACCGTTTGGAGCAGGGGAAGATCTGGGTATACAACCTGTAAGTTTGCATTGTTATTTGTGTATTTATCAAACAAGACTGTTTAAATGTGTAAACTGTGTTGGACTGCTAAGCCATTGACACAGTGCTAACTAAGTTGCTAGAGTTTCCATATATCAACTCTAATATCAGCAGATGGCCTTGCATACATGTATCTCATAGCAGGAGAATGTCTGCATTCACACACAAAATACCTATTGACAGTATACTCCGGGTGATTTGCCGTGCGGTCAGTCGCGAAACGTAATTACATTATAGCTGGCGTAGCGATCTAACACACGGAGCTAGAGCTAGTTTTGGTCGGAAAAACATTTTTGTGATGCTACGTTGCTAGCGTTTAAATATATCAACTACAATGTCAGCAGATGGCCTTACATGTTTGTCATGGCAGGAGAATGTCTGCAGTCACACACACGGAATACTCATACAGTATACTCCGGTTTACCGTACATTGTGACCGTACATATACTGCATGTAGCTAACGAGGCTAGCTGTATGCTAGCGCAAAACAATGTATTCATGCAAGTTACATTGTATGGTAGCAGAATACCCGTATACGATTGCAATTATAAACACGTTATTGCTAGCCTAATATGAACCACTAGCTTTTGTTCATAGTAGTTTTATTACACTGCATTATAGTTGCCTTTCCTCCAAGCTAACGTTCATATCGTGTTAGCTACCAAGGTAAACAAAGCTAGGTTAGCATATTAGCAGGCAAGCTGTTCATTACACAACTACTACTAACGAATCTAAAACAACTAAGTTTCTCTAATATTTTGTGATTTGCATTTGATTTCGTCCAGCCAGATCCTGGCGGACAATCCATGACGGGGAAGGGACTTCTACTGAGGCCTCGTGCTAAAAGGCACCGCACCGACTGTGCGCAAGCAAGATGCGAGGAGGAGGAATATACCGTGTGTATATATGTATATTTATGTTCATTTTGTACATTTCTAAAAATAAAGTTTAATGGAAATACTTAATAGGCCTATCCTTTCTTCCCTGAATTCATATATAGCAAACCATGATTTGATTTCTCATCAAACAGTAGTAGTTTATAACGGGTAAAAATAACTTACTCTTTGTTATGAGAGTGGCTCGTAGGCCACAACGGAAAGACAAGGAGACATACACGAGTTTACAAAACCACGGCACATTTATTGTGGTAAATGCAGAGATAGTCTTCCTGCAGCCGCTTTGGAGAGAGACTGGGGCCGTCGTGTCCGGAGGTGTCCGTGATCGTGCTGATTAGCCTCTTCAGCTCCACCCCATCGTAAGACAAAGGCCCTGGGGCCGTCACACTCTTCTATAACAACAGTTCCGTACCGACGCCATGATAAGACTGATGTTACGCTGAGAGCAGCCGGGAAAAGCACTGACATGGGCGCAGCCTCTCTGGTGGTTGACTAATCAGAACGAGTGGCCGAGCTGACCAATCGGAGCACACTAGGCTCACAGGGAGGGGGGGGCAAGAGCTCCAACGAGTCGTTTAGTGGAGAAAGTGAATACTGCTGAATACACATGCTTGACAGAGATGCTGTATGCGAAACCAATGTGAGTTTGGAAAATTGCACAGTATAAATCTATTTTAGTATACCTCAACAATGGAATTATGATCAGTGGAAATGGCCATGACATGGGCTCTTTAACTTTTGTCCAGTTTCTGAACAGATATGAGGAGCTGTGAGCTCTGTGTGCTAACAGCTAACGGCTGATGTTTTGGGACATGTTGATGTGGTGATGGGTTGACAGCATGTCGAGGATAACATCATATGTATATCCTTTGTTTAAATATTCCCTAAAGATTTCCATCTCTTCTTCCATTCTTTCCAACTCAGTTTAAAATTCGTGCAGAAACAGTTGAATAGTACCAAACCAAATACGTGGCGCTGTCGGGTGCTGACCAATCACGAAGCGTCATTTCTTGACTGGCAGCAAAAACAACCAATCACAGCAGTGCTTCTCTGGCTGGCTCTGTCCAATCACAAACAAGAAGTGTTCTCCCTAAAGGGATACCCTTTCTGTAAAAGTTGAAATGTTGAAGTCTTTTGTGAAATGCTGAAAGGTTTTTTCAAATGTCGTTGTGTTTTATGAAATGTAGAAGTGTTTTCTGAAATGCTGTAGCGTTTTGTGAAATGCTGAAGCGTTTTCTGAAATGTTGTAGTGTTTTGTGAAATGCTGTAGTGTTTTGTGAAATGCTGTTTTGACTTGCACT